AGAGTTGCCTCGCTGTTGACGTGTGTGGCAGGTGGAGGAGGGGGAGGTTGAAGCTTCTCTGTGTGAGAGGGTCTGCAACAGGGTGAGCCTGTCTGACCCCACCAGAATGTTGGGGCTGTGGAAGGAGATAGAAAGTCACCAGGAACTGACTGGAATAAATTGACTGGAATGAATGTGTTTTGCTGACTCCTTTGCTCCATCTGTATTTATCCTCACAGTGGTGACTGTGCTACAAGCACAGGACAGCACTGATCTCATCAACAGGCCCCTGGTCATCCACCTAGAGCTCCACTTCTGCCTCTGTCATTGACTTCCTGTGTGACTTTGAGTGACTCTTAATTTGCCATAAGCCTCTGTTTCCTCATCTGCAAAATGGGGAATAATAATAATAATCAATTCATCAGCTTACTAGAGATGCAAATGAGAAAATGTGAGTGAACTAGGCTTTGTAAACTTTGAGCATCATGGAAATTTTGTTATTCATTGTGCAGGCATTGTGGCCTCTGCAGACGCAACCTTGCTTTGATGAATACATGTCCACAATAAAGCTTGCCGTACAGTGCCTCCCTAGCAGTTCAAAACAAGTAATGGATCTCATCAGTGGCCAACTCTGGCCCTTAATGGAAATAGGAAATCTCTGCATGGTGCTGGCTGGACTCTCAGAACGTGTTCTGTCTTTGCATCTTCGCTTTCCCTTTTAAAAGCAGAGCCTTCCAGACCCCCTCAGCCCGTGAACTGTCGTGAACCTAATGGATAAACCTGATGCTTACTTTTGCACTGGCAAGATGCCTGCAAGCTTTGGTAAGCCCATGGTTGATATATTAATGGATGGCCTGTTTTTCTATCTTCTTGAAAGAAATTGAGTATGAATGAGTGTTTCCTCTGCAGGATGCGTTTGGAGAGGATGTCTGAACCCGGCACCAAAGCTGCTAGGGAACTCTGCATCCAAGCTGACAGGAGGTGGTGGGCTTAGGGCTAGTTTTCTCCCTACAGCTTATTAACCTCCAGTCCCTTTGCTTTGCTTTTCCAAGAAAGAAAGAACTCTTGTTTCCTAGCTGGCCAGGGGGTGCTGGACTGCTGGGTGCTGGAACTGTAATTGGGGGTGCATGGTCAAGAGTCAGGCAGAGCTGCTTTCTGATCCTGTATCAAACTGGAGAATCCCTAATTGGTTTCTCTTCTCTGCAGGCAGTTTCACTACAT